TGTATGAGCCGAGTTTTTCAGCAGTTTTGTATCTCAGCTGATAATTTGGATTGGCTTATACTTGGGTCTGCTTATACTCGAGTGTTTATGGTAAATAGAGTTAGTTTTCCCAGGTACTGAACGAAAACCATTTAATTGATAGTTTTTATTTCAAGAAATAATTTGGTAACAAAATTAGACATCAGCTTTAGATAAGAAAATTTGTGATTGACATTAGAATCACAATCTAGTAGTAGCTGAGGGTTTATAGCTGCTAGAATTAGCTGTCTCAGAAAACATAGAGAACATAATTAATAAAGGAAAGTGTGAAGATGTAATATATTTTTAAAATATAGTAAAATATGGTTTGTTGGTTTGTTTCTTATAGTTATGTTTATATCAGATAATGAAAGTTTTAATCCTTCATTATGGGAGGAACAGAGGAAACAGCGGGCTCAAGTAGCATTTGAATGTGATGAAGACAAAGATGAAAGAGAGGCACCTTGCAGGGTAATCCTATTCTTTCTAATCATTTGGCTTTACGTTTGAAACACGTCTGCTGATAGTCATTGGTTGTTTTAAAAATAAAAAAAATAGTGAATTAGTTCCTAGCCTCAAAGCATTTATTGTGATTTTTTAGCTTGAGTTGTTCCCCTTTTTATTTAATTCTAGCCTTTATTGATTGATTGGGCATACTTAATGGTTTGGTTGATTTGGTTATACTCAATGGTTTGGTTGACTGTGGGGGCTTTAATTAATTAAAATTTTTTTTTTTTTAAAAAGACATATAAAGTGGTTATCTTTTCTACTTTCCCACATCCTAGTGATAAAGAACTCTTGGATATAAACATGTGTTTCCTCGTGTGATTGAGAATGTGTCCCAATAATAAAATTAGAAAATATATATACATCCAGCATACTTACAATTACTTGACATCTATACCAATTAAATGAATTTTAGAAGGTAACAATTAGGTGACTTTTAAAGCATTTGGTTCCTGGTTCAAAAAATGTAAGCAATTGAATGAAGCAAATGAAATTTTATATGTATGGATACAAATCTATTTAGAAATGGTTTTCTAAAAAGCATTTTGAAGCATTGAAACTTATGTGTGAAGTTTTCTTTTAATGTTAATTTTTAAAAAATTTTTTTACTTTTATGTTATCCACTTTACCTGTTTGGCCATTTTTGAAAAGCATATTTTTATTTAACTCTTAAATATACTCCAAAGTTCTATCATCTGTCTTCATAGTTATCCTTATAAACTAGATGGTCAGTTGTTATATGGTGTTTATATCAACATTTCAAAATTTACTTGTTCTGTTTCTTTAGGAAGGAAATTTAAAGAGATATCCAACACCATATCCAGATGAACTTAAGAATATGGTCAAAACTGTTCAAACCATTGTACATAGATTGAAGGATGAAGAAACGAATGAAGACTCTGGGAAAGATTTGAAACCACATGAAGATCAGCAAGTTGTAAATAAAGATGTGGGCATGAAGGTTAGAAAACTTAGAGGGATTAGGCAAAGCCTCGCTTAAATTGAACATTTTAAAGGACAGTTAGCATAGTTATACTTTTTATTTGTGGTAAAATGTACTCTCAAATTTAGTTTCATTTTCAACTACCTGAATTGGGACACTGTCCTTAACTTCTGCTGTAACCACCTCTCTTTTTTATATAATATCAGGATAGGCAGGGTAGAATTATTTCCTGTACAAAGAATAAGATAACAAATGTCAAAAAGTTTATCACTGTGGAAATAACCGTTTTCTTCTTATAACTTAAATATAATTGCTGACCTTTGATATGTCTTTGCAGTGTTTCTAAAGTATTAACAAATCTCAATTCCTTATAGTCAACTCTTTCCTTAGTTTACAAGCAGCCCTGCTGGCATAGTTATGACTTTGCAGTGTTTCTAAAGTATTAACAAATCTCAATTCCTTATAGTCAACTCTTTCCTTAGTTTACAAGCAGCCCTGCTGGCATAGTTATGAGTCGTGCAGCAATCTGCTAGGTCAGCAGTTTGAAACCACCAGCCACTCCTCTGGAGAAAGACGGAGCTTTCTAATTCCATGAAGAGTTTTTCTCAGAAACCCACAGAAGTAGTTCTCCCTGCCCTATAGGGTCACTGTGTTGGCATTGAGTGTTTCCCACTTCATATCACAGAAGCAAGCATTATCCTGTCAGTGAATTTGCTAAATGGAGCCCGGGCAGTTCATTGGTTAATCAACCCAGTTATCTGAGAGTTGGAGGTTTGTAACCACCAGCCACTCTGGGTAAGAAAGTCAGTCTGCTTCCTTAAAGATTTACACTCAGACTTTGTCTTTGGCACTTAGTGAAGCTAACCATATCCATGGCCATTTGGCAGTTCTTCCTTCAAGGCTGGTGCCGCCTTAGAGACTGGTACTGCAATGAACATCCTGGCACTAGGGGTGCAGCCAGGGGACAGTAGCAACCTCAGCAACAGCTTAGTAGTAGTAGTAACAGATGTGGGTAGAATGTCTCAAAGTCACCCTTTGGCAGTCCGGTGTCATCCAGTTTCTCCAATTCTGTGCCCTCGGGCGAGGGGAGCAGAGATCAAGGGAAGTCATCGTCAACAGGTTCACAGGTTGTTTTCAGTTTGGAGTCTCAGCCCGCAGTACTAGCAGGGAGGTAATCTCTCAGAACACATTTGCATCACTTAGCACTGATGAGCAGAAAGACGAAAAGAAACTTTTGGAAGAAATTTTGAAAGATTATGGAAGTTTATGAATCTTCAGGGCAGTCGATATTTTCTCTTTACTCACCAATGAAAAATAAACCTAATATTTTAGGCACTTATTGCTATGAAATTCTCAACAAAGACATCCCAAAACTAGTGTTACGTTTTCTCAATGGGATAAAGAAGAACACAGGAAAATTTTGAGAGGAATTCAGAAAAACAATAGAAGAACAAAATAAGGACTTTAGTAAGGAGATAGAAACCTTCAAGAACAACTAGAAATTACAAAGCTTGCTATAAAATAGAGAAATAAAACACTCTTTAGAATACAGAAGTAGAATGGAAATCATGGAGGGGAGGAATCTGAATTAGAAGGCAAAGACTCAGATTACTCAGTTTGAAGAACAAGTAGGAAAAAAATGTACAGTATACAGTCTCTGTGAGACAACATGAAGAGAAATAATATGTGGATAATGGGAATTCCAGAAAGAGATGAAATGAAGTCCGAATATATTTTTGAAGAAATAATCATAGAAAATCTTCCCATTACCATCCACGATGCTCAACAAAGGCCGTGTAGGTGAGCTCCTAAGAGAGACCTGCAAGATGTATCGTAAGCACATGTACAAGGTACAAAGATACAGACTCTTGAGAGCAGCATAGGATAAGGGAAATGTCACCTACAAAGGAACATCACTAAGATTAAGTGCTGATTTCTCACCAGTTACTATGCAGGCAAGAAGGCAATGGGGTGGCATATTCAAAGCCTTGAGAAAGAAAATAATTTACCCAGCAAAATTTCATTTAAGTGAGGATGAAATTAGCATTTTCCCAGATAAACAGAAATTAGGGGGATTTGTAGCTACCAGATTTAGCCCTTCAAGAAATATTAAAGGGAATTTTCTAGAAAGAAAACATGATCCCAGCCCAACAACCTAAAATGTTGACACTAAACAACCACCTGAAATAAATAAATATATAATGCGTTACAGTGAGATGGGGGATTTTGGCAACACAATTGTAATCACAACATTAAAATAAAATGGAGATGATTATTACAAATAAGGGAACTTTCAGGTGTTGGAGGGAATTGAAGTGCTTTTGTAATAAAAATTACCCAAATTAATAATCATAATAAAGGAAGAAATATATTCCTAGAAAGAACTCGGCATTGAAGGTAGAGAACAAAGAAGTTATTATCAATCTCACCAGGAGATTGGGGGTGGGAGTGAGGGATGTTTAACAAAATGTTTGAAGTAAATTCTTTATTGATATTTAATTGCAGTGAATAGAAATGAATTAAATATTCTAGTCAAGAAATAGTGGTAGGCAGGCCCACAAATATAACATGGAGCACTGTTTAAGCACAGGTACTTAAATAGATTAAAGTAGGGGTAGACATACTTGACATAACAAGTAAGCAGTAATACAAGCAAGCAGGAGTGGCAATGTTAATATGCGACAATACGTTTCAAGTGAAGACAGAAAAGGGCAGTATATGCATCACCACCTTTTGATGAGAATAAAGAAACAGAAGATCTGTAGACTATTAACCATTTGGACCTAACAAACATAGAGCACACCACTCAACAGTAGCATGGTACACATGCTACTCCATTCCATATATGTTTGGGGTAGACTATTTTCAGACACAGTAGATGCCATTAAGTTTTAAAAGACTGAAAACCGAAAGTATCTAATCTAACTACAATAGTAGAATGAAGCCACAAGTCAATATTAAAAATAATAAGAAAAGTTAAATAACTTTAGGGAAATTAAACACTATTAAATTATCAATCCATTGGGTTATCAACATAATCAAAAGGAATACTTAAAATTTTAAGGATGTAGTTGAAGAGGTAAAAATCGTTAATTTTATTGAGTCTTGATCCTAGAGTAGAAAGCCTTGAGAAAAAAATATATATACCAATCAGAAATAATTTACTCAGTGAATGGGTTGTACCTGTTTTAGTAGCCTGTATGACAAATTCAGGGGGATATATAATGTGTTTTGCTACAGACCCAAATATGATGGTTTAATTGAAGAAAGCACTTGTGGGATTGAGCTGTGAATTGACCTACCCACTTTATTCACAGACTATTTTTGTTGAAATAATGAGTAGCAGATGGAGAACACTTTCCTGCTGCCAGCTTCTCTTTGGTTGAGAAAGATGGTGACATTAACACATGAACTTTTTTGTTTTGCTTTTAGAGTTTTCATATTTCTTGTTTTTTTATAACACGTGAGGTTTTTTAATGTCATATGCTATCATTTAGAAGAAATGTGAAATACATTACTTGGTGAACCAATATCTTCCCAGTGTTGTTACTGAAAATCCATTATCAGTAAAAGAGTGATTATACATACTTGAAAGATATAGATAGAGACTATGGGGTAATGAATTCTCTAATGAGAGGGTGCAAATGGTGTACAGCTGTAAGAATGTAGTCATTATCGCTAAATTGTAAATGCAGAAACTATGTTTTACTATGTATGCTCTAAACAAAAGAAAATTTGGAAAATCTTCCCTTTAATAAAAAAAAAGTTTGCACCCAGTTATTGTAGTTGCTGTCAGTGAGTTGTGCACACCTGTGAAAAGTTAAATTGAAAAAAAATTGTGATATATTTTACAAAAACCAAAAAACCTGAAGAGTAGCTATTAAGATTTCTTATGTACAACCGAAAATTATGATTTGGCTCCTTACTTTTAAGGTTTAAGGTCATGGCTTATGGGACATCCCAGTTTATGACCGCTCTAGACATTGAGTCCTTCTATTCTACTTCCTAGTTCATTACTTAGTACCTTGAGTCTTAAAAGTTTGAAAGTGCCCATCTAAAGCACAATTGATCTTGGTGCACCTGGAGCAACAGAGGAAGGAGGAGAGTCAGAAACAGTAGCATAGGGAATGTGTGGCTAATTGCCTTCATGAACAACTGAGCTCAGAAGAGTTGTTTGGTGCCTGGTTATCATACTGATATTTTAAATTAAGACTCCATAAAAGAATCTTAATCAAAAGAGGAATAATGTAGAACAGAATTTCAAATTCTATAAAAATCTACATATTCCCCTGAAATCTTAAAACCGAAGTGATTTAGCTTAGGTAGTTTTAAAAAAAAAATTACGTCTTAAACACAATGCTCTTGTAATAAGAATGTTCTATAGCAGCAGTTCTCAACTGTGGGTCGCGACCCCTATGGGGGTCAAACAACCCTTTCAGGGGTCGCCTGAGACCATTGTAAAACATATTTATGGTGGTCTCAGGAACTGAGACACCGCTCCTCTATCCGTCTCCAGGAGGGTCCACCCACATGCAGATAATGCCCATTTTCGACTACCCTGCAGGAAGACTGTTACCCATGCTACACGACAAAATTTTATTTGTAATTAGAAATAAATATTTCATAATATATAATTACATAGTTACTGTGATGAATCACTATGCTTTCATTATGTTCAATTTGTAACAATGAAAATCCATCCTACATATCAGATATTTACATGACAATTCATAACAGTAGCAAAATGAAGTAGCAAAGAAAATAATTTTATAGTTGGGGGTCACTACAACATGAGGAACTGTATTAAAGGGTCGCAGCATTAGGAAGGTTGAGAACCACTCGTCTATAGAAATCAAATTGACAAAAGCAATTCAGATTAGATAGGAACTGAAGAACAACTGAGAAAACAGATGAAAAATGTTTTCTCAACTCATAAAGATATGATCATTGTCACTACTTGGTACTTGCAGAAGATGTTAAATGTCTTGATCTCTGTATTCTCAACAGCAAAATTTATGTGAATCATCTATGTGAAACCAAACAGGTGAAAGGGACAGTTGGAATAATGGAAATGAACTAACAAGAACAGAAATAATGAGGCTATTCTAACTGGAAAATGTAAATAATATGTATGGAACTGTTAAATGGAAACTTAATTTGCTGTGTAAATGCTCACCAAAAACACAATAAAATATATTTTTACATTAAGGTTAAAAAAAACCATTTACAACCATGAATGCCCTGCGGGATATTCGATTATATCCTGTGTGGTTGCTTTGAAGCAGAATTGAGTCTACAGCAGTGGGTTAGAGTTAACTGTTGGGAACCCCTTGGTGTAGTACAAATGATTAATCACTGAATGACTGACCAATAGTTTGGCAGTTCAAACTCAGCCAATGGCTCCTAGGAAGATAAGCCTTGTGATCTACTCTTTAAAGGCTGCAGTCTTGAAAACTACTCTGCTGTGCACATGGTGCTGAGTTGGGCTCAAACCAAATGCACTTAGGCAATCATGGAGTCCACTCTGACTTATAGCAACCGTATAAGATAGAGTAGAACTGGTCCTGTGGGTTTCTGAGCAGTTGGTAGCTTAGAGTAGAACTGGTCCTGTGGGTTTCTGAGCAGTTGGTGGCTTTGAACTGTTGACATTGTGCTTAGCAGCTCAATTCTTACCTGAACTAAGCATTTTATTTAACTGCCAAAGGTTTTTATTTTTGAAGTGTCCTTGTTTTGTTTTTGTTTTTTTTAATCATTTTATTGGGGCTCATACAATTCATCCCAATACATAGATCAATTGTCTAAAGCACACATACATTTGTTTCCCTCATCATTCTCAAAATTCGCTTTCCTCTTGGGTTCCTGGAATTAGCTCATTTTCCGTTTTTAGTGTCCTTGTTTAAGCATTACCCAACTTAGGAAATGGCAAATTACATTTAAATTTTCATCTGAATACTTTATCATTTGATCTCCCTTTTGACCCATTTTAAATTTGTTCTAGTTTTTTATATTTTTTGCTTTCTTTTTGATCAAGTTTGTATCTGTTTTACTTGTTATCATTGTTAGTTTGTTATTGTTTTTAATGTTTTTCTCTTATTTGAAACCCAGGAGAGATAAACCTAAAGAAAACAGTAACTAAATTAATAGTTCCTTGTGGCTATGGCAGGGGAGATTGAGGGGTTGGGGGTGAGAATAGGAAGCTAAGATCGAGTGTAAGAAGGTAGAAAATATTCTAAAACTGATTGTGGTGATAATTGTAGAACTCTTTTTGATGTGATTGAACTATTGAATTGTGTGAGATGTGAATTATATGCCAAGAAAACTGCTAAAAATAATCCATTTCAAAGACTATAAATTCTTTATCTTTTATTTAGACTTCAGAAAGTACCTCTCTGGTAAAAAGTAAAGCTGAGGAAAGAGAAAAGTATATGACCGGAAGTTCGGTACAGAAGATCAATGACCTTGAAGTTGAGGTCAGTCCTGTGGCTCATGTGAAAGTCTCTGAGAATCTGAAGCATATTGTGAACCACATTGATGCTTTTGAGGTATGGCCTTAAGGACTTCTCTGGAGCAGTCACAAAATCTTTCCCTTTACTATTACAGGGTTGCGAAGTATGATGTGAGAAATCCCAATCAATGATAGGAAATATGGTGTGAAACCCCTCAGGGCCAACAATGAGAGTAGAGAAACCAGAGGATGAGGGAGAGAAAGGGAGAATCAATCACAGCGATCAACCTATAACCACCTCTCAGGGGAATGAACCAACAGAAAAGTGGGTGAGGGACAATGTAAGATATGAAAATAATAATCTATAACTTACCAAGGGTTCATGAGGGAGGGGAATGGGGATCTAAAATCAGGCTCAAGTGGGAAGAGAATGCTTTGAAAATGATGTTGGCAGCATATGTGCAAATGTCCTTGAAACACTGGATGAATGTATGGATTGTGATAAAAGATGTAAGAGCCCCCAATAAAAGCATTTAATAAAAAAGAAAATATGGTGATGAATGCATTTTTCATTAAAAAAAATTAATGTTTTCCAAAAGCATATCACTTTATCACATTAATCTTAGAAAAATTTTATACCCACTGTTTACTATGTAAATTTTACTATGTAAATTAGTTTGGGGCCATTCTTTCTTGTAACAATCCATACATACATCAATTGTGTAAAGCACATTTGTGCATTCATTGCCCTCATCATTCTCAAAACATTTCCTCTCCACTTAAGTCCCTGGCATTAGGTACTCATTTTCCCCCTCCCTCCCTGCTCCCCCCTCCCT